CCAGCGATCCTGCCGGATCGATCTCTTTTTGCTGCTCTTCGCCGCTGCCGCAAAACTGTTACTTCTCTGATGTTTTTTTCTGTCGCTGCGCGAACCCCTGCCGCGCATCCATTCCTCGTTGTTGGCCGAGGCAGCCAGTTATTAAACCCCGCGAGGCCGGATGCGCCGGCCGAGTCAGCCTTCGGGCAAGTCAACAGCTGAAGTGGGCCCATGGGGTGGAGGAGGAGGAGGCGCGCCTCCAGTGTCCCGACCCCCGTTCCTCATCGCTCCTCGCTTCTCGCTCCTCGTCGCTCCTCCCCATCCTCGCTCCTCTTCTTCTTCCTTCTCCTCCTCCTTCTCATCCTCCTTCTCCTCATGTCTGCTCCTCGTCCTCCCCTCCCCCACGTTCTCATCATCGTTTTTTCTCGCTCCTCGCTCCTCTTCCTCGGTCGGTCGTCCTCGCTGACCCTCGCGCTCATCATCCTGCTGGCGATGCTGCTACTGCTGCTGTTTCTCTTTCTCCTCTGCTGCTCCTCCTTCCCTGGGCCCCCCCCGCAAGTTTAACGGGTGCCACTTCTGCTTTTCCCCCCGCGCCCTGGTCTTCCCCGCCCAGAGGCCGGGCGCTGCCCGTGGAGGAGGGGGCGTGCCACAGTTGCCAAGTAAGAAGACCATTCTAATTGAAAACATCACAGTGCTCGGCGCCAACGTGTTACACCCGTTGCATATACCCGTCATTGGCGCACTGCCGCACCGCAATTGAGTGACGACGCGCGGCCGCGAGGAACAAGAAGAGCGGATGGCACATGGAAGGACTAGCACAACAAAGCATATTGATATACAGAGATGGGAAGAAATAGAGATGGAGGGGGAGAGAGAGAGAGAGAGAGAGAGAGAGACATAGAGGAAAGCACGGCGGCCACACGGGCCGGAGCAGCCCCTTACTGGCTGCCGCTTCCGGGGGAGGGGCCCCGCCTCTGCCCGACTTCCTTCTGCCAGCACGTCATGCACATGAAAGTGTCGCGTGCGAACCGTGAGAGGTACTCCGCGGAGTGGACCCAGGCGGCCATCGACCACGGCTGAGGAGAAGACTTCTCAGGCGTGGCCACCTCCTGCGTGGCCGGCTCCGGTGGTTGCTGCTGATGCGGCCGCGCCGGCGTGAGCGGCTCCGCCGATGGTCCGCCGTCGCCGCCCTGAGGGCGGCTGGGTGGGGCTGCTGGTTCCGCCGCAGCAGCGCCACCGCTGCGACGGTGACTGGGTGAGGCTGCTGGTGGCGGATTCGGCTTGCGGGGCGCCTCCTGGTCCTCCTTCTTCTTCTTCTTCTTCAAGAACTCCTTCCGCTGCTCGACGACGTAGAGCTGGAACCAGTTGATCGACGGCGCGCTCACGTGGTCCTTCACTGAGGCCTTGATCTTCGCCTTATGCTCGTCGCTGAAGACGTACAGGACCGCTGTCTTGGCGAGCATGCCGTCGTCGACCAGGCGATCTACGATCTGCCTGACCAGCTTCGGGCACCGACTGCAAGCTTTCTTGTCGCGCCCGTTCGAACGTGTGAACTCGGAGAAGCCGTCGAAGACTTTGTCCAGGATGGATGGCGTGGGATCCGCCGTGAGCAGCCTGGCCGAAGCAGCCAAGGCCGATGGAAAGGAATGGAGGTGTGGCCGGCGCAGCCAGTACAGAGGCCGATGCAGCCGCACGGCGGCTGCAAAAATAACGCGCGGCGCGCGCGCGGTCGAAGCCAAAACGGCCGCGGGGGATGGATGGGGGAGTGGCGGCGAAAGGACGCCGAGGATCTGGGGAATCAATGAGGCAAATGATATGGAGGGTAGACCGCCCCAAGGATGCATAAAGAAGAAGGCCTCAGGGGCGCCCGAGAGTGCTTCAAGACGGCCTAGAGGCGCCCAAAAACAAGACGGCCCAAAAAGAGGGCCCCAAGATGGCTCCAAGAAGACGGGCCCACAGGGGGGAACAAGAAAAGTCTTCAAGAAGCCCCCGAGAGGCCCTCGAGGACCCCCCCCAAAAAAAAAAAAAACAAGCCCCAACTTCCCCAGGACGCCCGCCAGGGGGGACAAGCAACAAGGGGTTTTAACATCAGCAGAAGGCCTCTTCTTCTTGGCCCTTCTGGATTACGACGGTAATATATTCAACGCGCAACCGCATGCGCGTTTTTATGGATACATGTGCATACACAACTAGTTATATGTAGTACTACTCATGGCCGTATATATCATAGCAACCAACGAGCGATTGATTTACTTATTCAAACTGTTTGAAGATTTTTCATCATGCCCCACGAGTGGGCGCTGATGGCTATCGCTATCGCTTGATATTTCCTCACAACTACTACCCCCAACAAGCCCCGAACGAGAGGTCTCCCACGAACGATACACCAACGATGACGATCATCACAATCACCCGTTCATTTTTTGAGTTTTCCCTCCAGGCCAACCTAGCGACTTTTTCATTTTGAACACGACAGAACTCCCCACGCGCGCGCGCCGCGTCGCGCGCGCGGGCGCCTCGGCGCACGCGCGCTCGACGCGCGCGCGCTCAGTCTGAACATATTCAGCATTTTGCATAATTCCGCGTTCATTCCCTAAAACTTATAAGGGCAAACAGAATGTGTGCTTGATTTTAGTGTCCTGGCAGCATTATTATTATTATTTCCCCTCCTCGTGCGTTCGACCCCCATCGCAAAGTCGTGGGCGCCCATGCCACGAGGACAAAGATTAACTTTGGGCGCGAACCACCGCGTGGACTCTAAAATTCCACTGAGTGTGAGAAAGTCTTGGTCGTCTCTTGGAACCGATTCGGAGCCCTCTTGGGGTGCTCCAGGACCGTCTTGGAGCAGGCGCGCCGGTCTGGCCTTCGCCGGCCGCTCGGGAGCCTCCGCCCGCGGCCGCCGCGGCCGCGCCCGTGCCCGCGGCCCCGCGCCCGATGGGGCAGCTTGGCGCGCTCGGGCAGCGGGAAGCCTGTGCCTTCGAGGAAGGCCTCGAGTACTGCGTGGGCTTCAGCGAAACCCTCCGCCCGCCGTTCGACTTCTGCACCTGCCTCTGAGGCCTGTGCTCGTTCGAGGATAAGGCAACCCGCTCGCTTGTCTGCTATCGCTCAGTCAACTCGCTTGCTTGAGCTGGCCCAAGAGGGCCACTTTGGACACCCCCAGCTTGCTAAGTTGCAAGAGAAATCAGCCACCCCAATTTTAGAATACACTTCGGGGGATGTGAAATTCAAGGCTTATTAACAGGAGCCCCTGCAGTTTCGGTTGGCGGTGGTTCAGGCTCTTCAGAGAGCCGCTCAGGTCTGGACGGTTTCCACTGACCTTAACTCCTCCTCGTTCTCTGCTGGTGCGCGTGCTTCGAGTGCGCTGCTTGCTCCTCCTCCTCCTTCTCCACCACCACCGTCACTGATTCCAGAATCTGATCAGAGTGAGTTTCGCACGTAACGCCACGCCCCCCTCCGCTGCCTGATGCCCTTCCTCCTTTCCTCCCTCTCTCCTGTGGTTCCTGCTGCTGCTTGCTCTCTTTTTTCTCCTGGCCTCGTGCGTGTGCGTGTGTGTGCGTGTGCGTGTGCGTGTGCATGTGCGTGCGTGCGTGCGTGTGTGCGTGTGTGTGCATGTGTATGTGTATGTGTATGTGTATGCGTGTGTGTTTGCGGGTGTCGGCGGTGTCCTGTCCCTTCTCGCCCGTCATCCCTCCTCGTTCTCTCGTCGTGTCGTTGCTGGGCCGTGGCCTAGGATTGAGTTGGGGGAGACTTCCGACTCTCTTCTAATGCGAGCTTGCCGCTGGGAGGATGGTGCCCATGTAGGCCGTCACGGGTCGTTCCCCATTGGTCGGTCCTGCTCTGGGCCAGAGGCTTCCCCCCAGCGAGGCTGCAGGCTACAGCCCCGTGCTATCCGCAGATCCTTACACATAGCACGTGCTCGTTTGCTAAGCGCCGCAGTCCAGTCCAGTCCAGTCCTCCTCCTCCTCCTCCTCTTCCTCCTCCTCCTCCTCCTCCTCCTCCTCCTCCTCCTCCTCCTCCTCCTCTCCTCCTCCTCCTCCTCCTCCTCCTCCTCCTCCTCCTCCTCCTCCTCCTCCTCCTCCTCCTCCTCCTCCTCATCCTCCTCCTCTCCTCCCCTCCTCCTCTTCCTCCTCCTCCTCCTCCTCCTCCTCCTCCTCCTCCTCCTCCTCCTCCTCCTCCTCTCCTCCTCCTCCTCCTCACTCCTCCTCCTCCTCCTCCTCCTCCTCCTCCTCCTCCTCTCCTCCTCCTCCTCCTCATCCTCCTCCTCCTCCTCCTCCTCCTCCTCCTCCTCCTCCTCCTCCTCCTCCTCCTCCCTCCTCCTCCTCCTCCTCCTTCCTCCTCCTCCCCTCCTCCTCCTCCTCCTCCTCCTCCTCCTCCTCCTCCTCCTCCTCCTCCTCCTCCTCCTCCTCCTCCTCCTCCTCCTCCTCCTCCTCCTCCTCCTCCCCCTCCCCGCCCCCCTCCTCCTCCTCCTCCTCCTCCTCCTCCTCCTCCTCCTCCTCCTCCTCCTCCTCCTCCTCCTCCTCCTCCTCCTCCTCCTCCGTTTCCCCATCCTTCTCCTCCTCCTCTTCCTCATCCTTCTCCTCTTCCTTCTCCGCCTCCTTCTCCTCCTCTTCCTCCTCATCGGCGGCGATATGCCCTACGGAGGCCAACAAAAAGGCTAGCAACGTCAGGAAGCATGCATCGTCGAGCCTCGGCCCCAAAGGAAATCCAAGGACCGAGGATCCAAGGGTCGAGGTTCGAGGATCGAGGATAGAGGATCGAGGATCGTCGAGGTTCGAAACTGGAATTGCCCGCCGTCCCAAGGAGGAGGGACGAGGAGGGTGGGCCCTCCTCCTTCCTCATCCGCCCTCTCCCTCGAACCTCGAGCTCTCCCCCCTCGAACCTCGAACTCTCCTCCCCTCTCCCTCCTCCCTCGCGATCTGCTGCCCACCGTGAGCGCCGCGCCCCTCCGGCGACGGCCACGAGGGCCGACCGGGCGAGGGGGCCGCGGCCCCCCCGGCGGCCGGCGGGCCACAGCCCAGCGGAGGCCATCGCCGACGGCCTGGTGGGGCCCATCCGGCAGGATCCCCAGTTCGCTCAGCTGCAGCTGCCGTACATCCGGAGCCTGGGCCAGGAGCTGGGCATGGCTCATCTCGACTCCCCCGAGATTCGATTCGGTTCGGTCTCGGCAGCTTCCGATGCCGATCCGATTCGGTTTCGGATGCCGCTTCGGGATCCGGTGTATCAATGGAGGCCTACAAGCCTGCCGATGTCTGCCGATTCGACGTTTCCCGACTCGGCTGCCGATTTCCGTCGATGCGGACCCTGGGCCAGGATCGAAGAAGAAAACATTGCATGAACGTAAGTTCGTGGCGCTCCGCGCGGATTTCTTGGATCCACGCTGGGCCCCCCTGGGCGGCGCCTCCAGCGCCGCCCCTGGCGCGCTCCGCGCGCCAGGGGAGAGGGTCTGGCGCGGATCCAGGAAATCCGCGCGGAGCGCCGAAAGTTTGTGTTTATGGCATTGGTTCTTCTTCTTCTTCTTATTATTATTATTATTATTATTCGTCTTCTTCTTATTATTATTCTTATTCCTCTTCTTCTTTTTCTTCTTCTTCTAGTATATCCGGACCCTGGGCCAGGAGTTGGAGGCCATAAATCTAGGCCTCCCAGATGGGGTCGGAGCAGATGGGGTCGGAGGATCGCGCCACGTCGCCGATGCATCGCCAGTACATCGCCGATCTATCCACGATGCATCGCCGATGTATTGGCGATGCGGCGCGATTCTGCGACTCCATCTGCTCCAGCCCCACGCAGGAGGCCTCGATGAAAAGTAAGTGGGGCAGGGCATCAGATGAGCACGAGGTCAAGATACCGGCGGGGTAATCGGGGGAGATGGGGGTGTTCAGGGTGAGGGGGTACGGGATGGGCTGGACGCGCTGCCGTCCGTGGTGGAGGTGCGGCCTCTTCGCCACCACCTTGTGGCCTTTTCCGCGTCCGACGATGCCGGCGGGCGACAGCCCGCCATCACTGACGCCACGAGCCCTGTCTCCGCGGCTTGCCTAAGAGAAAGCGCATGACAAGGATGCGCTCCAAGAGGTCCAGGATCTCCCAGATCTCCAGCTGCTCCACGCGAGCTGCAGAGCCGAGGGCCGCTGGTTACTCCGGAGTTCCTGGAGCGCGTATCCTGAGCCGAAGGCATCATGGCATCATTCCTGAGTTTGACCTGCCCCTCTACAGGGGGAATAGGCAAAAGTAGTCAGCGTACGATTTTCTAACCATTTTTGAATATTGTTTGAGTTGTTGAGTTTGTCATGTTAAACTTTCGTCCCAAATCCGCATGTACGGGGATATTCCCGACCGACCATCATTCTCGTTTTCAGAAGGAGGCCAGGCAAGTTCGCAATGGGCAGGCCCTGGAAAAGGAGGTGGATCGAGAGCGACTGCCCGAGCGCTTTCCGAGCGCCCCGGGACGGCCGCCACATCCCGCCGACCGCTTGGTTCCGAGGTTGCTGGTTCATTTCGTGCTGATTCTCCGGGGCACAACAGGTCATGACAGTGATGTGAGCCAGGATGTCCAATGCGTCCAGGGGTTCCAGGAGTCCTGGATGTCCCACGGGGGGCTACCAAAGCGAGGGCAGCTAGATCCTCTTGGAAATTCCGAACGCAGCCTGGGCCAACCCTATCATGACACTCTCTCCCCAGATTCGCCTTCCCACCCTCGTCTGAGGGTTAAGTCGGGATTGTCCCTCTACAGGGGGTATATTCTTAATAGTGGAAAAATAGTATGGGGAATCTGTTTAGAGTATGTTTTTACCATGTTGGGCTATTTGTTTTATATTTTTTAATGTTCGTCGAACATCCCCTTGTAGAAGAGGACGCGCCCGACATCGTCTCAGGGTCTTTGCTGCGTCGGCGCGGCGGCGTGGCGAGGTGAGCGGCACGCCCCCGCCACGGCGACGGGGGATATCCAAGGCCGAACGCCCTGCAGCTGGTTTCGGGCATGGTCGATGGCGTTCGGGACACGTGCTAGCTCGAGCGTGTGTTTACCTCGTTCGGCTCCGCCGATAAACCGCAAGCATTAAGTCGGGCGTGTCCCTCTGCAGGAGGAACATTCCATAATAGTCCAAACATAGTCTGGGGACGAGTTTTCGATTGTGCTTGCTTATTTGTGGGGTATCTTTTGGGTACTTCCCATTTTTCGCTCCAAATCCCTCTGTAGGAGGACACGCCCGACGTAACGCACGCAGTGCCAGCCCTCGTTGCCCCGCCTGTGTCATATTGAAGGGCCTCCGCGTACAAGCACATGTGTGCGGAGCCAACACAACACGCGTTCTGAGGATCACGGGGCCCGCACCTGGCACTCCGCGGCGCGCAATTCCACTCGCAGGATGTTTCGACTGCCTCTGCGGGCCTCTGAGAGAGGATATCTTGTGAGTTTGACGGGCGCGTGCTCCTCGGCCATCGAAAGTCGGGAGTCTTGGGACATCCCCCCAAAACAGTGTTTGCATTTGGGGGCTTCCGACTTCGTTGTCTAAGTGAACTGAGCCTGGGTGCCAGTCTGGCGGCTCTGTGGTCGCCGTCGCCGCCCCGTCGCCGTCTCGTCGCCGGCCGTCGTCTGGGCTTGGATGTCGGTTTGGCGGCTCCGTCGCCGCCTCGTCGCCGCCCGTCCTCTGGGCCTGGGTGTCGGTCTAGCGCCCTCGTGGTCGCCGCCGCCGCCTTGTCGCAGCCCGTCGTCTGGGGCGGTCTCGCGGTCGCCGTCGCCGCCTCGTCGGCGCCTCAGAATGCACAACATAGATATTCCTTTCGAAAACAATATCAGGATCTCCCCCGCCCACACGGGGTTAATATGCCACCTCTTCGTATTGCGATTCAAATACGATCCTGCCCCATCGTCCACCCTAAGTACGAACTCGTACCATCCCAGGCAGGCCAGTATCGACCCCCGCCTCATACAACAATAGTATGCGCGCGTACTCGTTTATCAGAAGTCATCAGTTTCCAAGAATCCTTGGCAATAAATGGGACGAAATGCGCACGCGCGCGTCGTCGCGCGCGCATGCCGAAATCATTCAGACACCTCAGGTTTCGTAAGGAATGCACAATCGAGAGTCACGAAAGCAGATGAAACATCACACGATTTCGCAATAACGGTGTCCAAGAAGAGCCTGCGTGAGCGTTCTTGCGAATTCTCACGAAAGTCATAGGTTGTTTACCATGTTTTATTATATGTTACCAAATGGGCTGCTCGCGCTTGCATGTTGAAATCGTCGAACGCCCTTGCGCGCGTGCTGTCGCAAGAATCCTTTGCAATAGCTAGGACACAGTGCACGCGCTCGCGGCGTCGCGCGCGCATGCCGAGATCCATTGAAAATTTGAGGATTCGTCAGGACTTCGAAACGAATTCCCCGAAAAATATTGAAACACATGGTTTTCAACATCAGATAGAAAACCGCGCGCGGTCGTGCGGCCGCTTTGGGCCTCTGGGGCAGTATTAGAGCGTCGGGAGCTAAAGAAGGCGTGAATGCTAGAATTTGGAAGGGAGGCAAGGAGGAGGAGGAGGAGGAGGAGGAGGGTTATTTCCAACTCTCCTGTGTGTTGGGTCCTCGCTTTGACTTCGCGGCGCCGCGCTCCACCTGCTCCTCCTACCCCTTGCCTCCTCTGCTCGTCCTCCTCACTCATCCCTCCCTCCACTTCCTCGTCATCCCTCCCCTCCCCCCATCACCACAATCATCATCACCACCATCATCGTCACACCCATCAATATCATCAGAATTCCGGAGCACCCCTCACACGCTTCGTGGTTTCATAGGGAGCTTCACCCAAGGTCCCAGTGTTTGCGCCCGCATGGTGCCAGCTCCCCCCATTTCGGCACATTCGCTTGGTTGCCCCATGGGGAGCTCCACTCGAGGCCCCAGTGGCTGCGTCCGCATGGCGCCACCTCGCCCATCTCGGCACATCTAGTCATACGTTTAATGGACCCTCAGGGAGCTCCACTCAAGGCCCCAGTGGCTGCGTCCGCATGGCGCCACCTCGCCCATTTCGGCGCATCCTCACACGTTCCGAGGAACGTAGGGAGCTCCAGCAAAGGCTCTAGTGGCTGCGTTCTCATGGCGCCACCTCGCCGATTTCGGCACAAACCTCACACGCCTCGTGGCCCCATAGGGACCTGCACTCAAGGCCTCAGTGGCTGCGTCCGCATGGCGCCACCTCGCCCATCTCGGCACATCTAGTCATACGTTTCGTGGACCAACAGGGAGCTCTGGCAAAGGCCACAGAAGCTGCGTTCGCATGGTTCCACCGCGACCATTTCGGCACATCCCTCACACGCTTCGAGGCCCCATGGGGAGCTCCACCAAAGGCCCCAGAAGTTGCGCTCGCATAGCGCCGACCCGCCCCATATCGGCACCTCACACGTTTCGTGATCCCCTTGGGAGCTCCACCCAAGGCACAGGGGCTCCGTTCGCATGGCGCCACCCCGCCCATTTCGGCACACCCCTCCATGCGAATATCCGCAACGTGTTTGCAATGGGTTGGGTTCTTCGCCAGTGTAATTTTGGCATATCGGGGCCCTCGTAGAGGTCCTCGTTGAGCCCTCTTGTCGAGCCTTTTGGGCCGTCTTGAGGCCATCCTACGGGTTTCGAAGCACTCTTGAACCGTCGCGGGCCACTCTATGAGGCTTCTTGGTGCTTCCTGGCCCGTTTCCTGGGCTTGTCTGGCACCGGACGGGCTTGCCCGGCAAGCGCCGGCGCACCAGGAGAGGGCCCAGGAGATGTTGGCAGGGGGGGCAGACGTCCAACGTTCATATTATGTATTCTGTGTAATGAGTTCTCTCGCCCTCTTCATCGAGTGGCGCTCCGCACGGATTACTTTGATCCACGCTGGGCCCCCCGCGGCGGCGCCTCCGGCGCCGCCCCTGGCGCGCTCTGCGCGCCAGGGAGGAGGGTCTGGCGCGGTTCCAAGAGATCCGCGCGGAGCGCCAAAAGTTCATGTTTATGTAGTTTGTTGTTCTTCTAACGTATGTGTTCTCTCGCCCTCTTCAGGAGCCGAGGCTGAAGGAGGTGTTGTTCAGCGTTCTGCAGTCAACGGAAGTGCAGGAGGGCCTTGCTGAAAGGATCGCCTCGGGCGTGAGTCAGCTCCACGATGCTCAGATGGCGACGGTTGAGGAGCTGAAGAGCAAGTTCCAGTCGCAGCAGGGAACCTTCGACATGTCGTACGCCAGTATCGATATGTTTTTCTCCGGGCTGGAGGGCATGATCGGTTCTCCCAGTCCAAAGCTCCGTGAAGCAATGGAACTGGAGCATTGTAGTTCGGCAGATTCGGACGACAAGTGGAAGACCAGAAATTATGGGATCGAGACCACGCCCCGCACTGAGTGGCTCTTTGTTGTAGACCCGACCGACAAGAGTCTGGAAAGGTTGGACATACCAGATTGGCCCGCCGAGTCCGAGGAGGCCATTCCTCATGCTCGGCGCGCCGACCTCGGTCGCAAGCCGGTCTCGCTCCAGGCGTTCGAGAGCCTCCTGTCCGAGAAGAACGACAGCTTGCGGCGGGCCAATCAGCCGGAGATCCGGCTAGAAGAGCTGGTGGGGGCGAGGCTGTACACAGGACCCATGTTTGAGAAGTATCTACTGGCCTTGGGCCCATCCCATCCCCGTGCCTGGGTTGTGGGTCGGAGCTCTCAGTGATGCTTCTTGGGGTCTCTTCGGAACGCTCTCGGGGGCCTCTTGGGAGCCTTTTGGGACGGGCCTAATTATGGGGACCTTCTGTGGCCCCCTCGGGGCCGAGAGCTCGACATGTCTGTTCGGGTTCCCCACCTGGGACCCCTCTTGGAGTCGTCTTTGGGCCCTCTTGGTCGCCTTGGGCGCCTCTTGGGCCGTCTTGGTGCCCTCTGTGGCCGTCTTTGGGCCCTCTCGGGGGCCTCTGGGGCCGCATTGGGGCGATCTTGGGGGCCTCTTGGGCCGTCTTCGAGCGTCGGGAATCCGAAAAGGGGAGAAGGCCCAGATTCTTCAAACACCTCTGGAACAAAAAGCACTGCTTTCCGTCGTTGGGGGCCCTCGCAGGAGGCCTCTTGGGGCGCCTTGGAGGCCTCTTGGGCCGTCGTGTGGCCCTCGAAAGTGTATTTGGGCGATTTGTCAGCGAATCGCGGCTCTCTGGGACCGCTACGGAGTGGCTCAGCATCCCGAGGACCCGCAGGGGCTCCCCCCCCCCTGAGCTCATGGGGGCCGGCCCAGAAAACCCCAGAGGGGCTTGCGAAACGACTGGTCCGGGCCGGGGGGGGGGGAGAGGAAGGAGGAGTGGGAGGGGGAGCGGAAGGAGGAGGAGGAGGAGGAGGAGGAGGAGGAGGAGGAGGAGGAGGAGGAGCCTACAGTATTACACTTCTCGTTGCAGCAGCAGCAGCACAGCCTCGACCTCTCAATGCTGCATGAGCCTCGGGGCACTCCACTGTTCGTGCCAGAGGCACGGCGGACAACGCGGTTCTCAGGGGCGGGGCGAGGAACACGAAGCAGCTAGATTTCATGCAGAAGATATTCACTGATTTCTGCAAGCACAACCGGTACGTGACCACTCTGCACGTCATCAACTCTGCGCTGATCAAGCTGTCCAAGCTCCTGAGCGTGGTCAAGGTATACCGCGGAGTCGAGAGGGGCATGCTGCCCGAGTGCTTCTGGGAGGCGAACGACTTCAACGTGAGGGGGGGCGTGGAGTTCGCGTTCATGAGCACCACGACAGAGCGCGACGTGGCGATCTTCTACTCGGGGGCCGAGAAGGACGGCAACGTGAGCACCATAATCGAGGGCCAGCTCGGCATGGTGGACCGTGGGGCGGATCTGTCCTCCCTGTCCCAGTACCCGCACGAGAAGGAGATCTGCTTTGGCCCGTTGACGAGCCTCGAGGTTCTCTCGACGCGGGTCGAGAAATCCTACTTGGTGGTGCATTGCCGCTTCAACATCAACTTGGTATCGCTGACCATTGAGCAGGTGCTGGCGAAGCGTCACAGGATCGTGACAGACGTGTGCGACAACGTGATGCAGCACACAAGGAAGGTGATTGCAGCGTTCTCCAGTAATCCGTCAGAAGGGGCCGAGACGAAATCGGCCATAGAGTACGCTTGCACGAAACTAGAAGGTATTACAGCACGACGCCCAGACATTTTCAACGACGATGGGGAGCTGAAGGGCGCAGTCACGAAAGCGCTGGATATGAAAGGTCTCTTTGACGAATGGCTTCAGGCAACCATGTGCCACAATGTTCCAGATATCGATGATCGTGGAGATCCCGACGTGACTTGGAGCTCTTTTGCGACAAAGACCGTCGAGCACTACCACACATTGATCCCATCTGATCTGTCCCATATCACACTGAGCTGCCAGTGGCGGGACGAAGGCTCTGGGACCTTCCATGGACGCATCAATCTCGTCGTCACGCGCAATGGCGAGATTGTTTCGGAGGTGCCTTGCTTTGGCCGTGCACCTCATGACTGGCAGACCGAGCGAGCGGTCTTCTCCGCAGAGGAGCTACACGGCCACCTGCCCGGCGATGTACTGACTCTCCAGTACGAGCTGGGAGAATCTCACTACAGGAAGTTGATGGTCAAGGACATCGAGCTCGTCATGGACCGGAACCCCATCAACGCGAGCCGACGGGCCGTCTCGCAGCAGGATGAAAGCGGGCGTGTCCCCCTACAGGGGGAATTGTGGGCGGAAAAAAAAATATTCAAAACATGCTCCCCAAAATGGGCAAAAATAGTCAAAACATCGTCTTTTGACTATTTTTGAATATTCCTCCTGAAGAGGGACAGGCCCGACTTAACAGCAGGAGGCAGCGAGGAGCGAGACCTTCGGCTTCCGCGAGGCCCGGAAGGGCAGCAAGGAGCAGGTCCTCGCCGACGGCATGCGCAGGAACGCCCTGGCAGAGAGAGCGCACCTGGTCGAGGAGCCACAGCAGGCACCTACAGTCAGGTCCTTGAGGAAGGAACTCTTTTCGTTGAGGGGCTCAGTGTTCCTAAACTGTTTTGCAGTTTGTCTCAGGTGTTCATTTGGCTTTCTGTTGGGAATCTGGGTTGAACTTGCAGTTGGGGGCCCATGCCGAGAAGCACCCCGCTTGCTCCCAGGGTGCCCTGGGTGTCGCGTGGTTGGACGGTTCTGCCATGGACAGCGTGACGCTCCCGCACCAAACATCGATGCACGTCCTGGGGTCTCAGGGTTGAGTTTCTTGTGGAAGGTCTCTTGTGGTCGGGCCCCTACTGTACAGAAAGAAGGGGCCTCGCAGAGAGCGCGCCTGGTCGAGGAGCCACAGCGGGCACCTCCACAGTCGGGCCTCTGAGGAAGGACCCCTGTTCGTCGGGGAGGGGCTCGGTGCTCCCTAACTGTCTTACAGGTTGTCCGAGGTGCTCCTTCCTGTCCGTTTCTCAATGGGGAATCGAGCTCTGACTTGCGGAGACAGGGGGCCTCGTTCCTTCTCTGGGGTTCCTTGTGACAGCGTTTCGGCTGTATGCCACCACTCCTGCCAGGCCAGGGCCACCCCTGGCCCCGGGTTGGATGTTTCTTTGTGTTGAAAGCGAGTTCGATTCAAATTCCAGTAAGGTTCAGTAAATCGAAGAAGGGCTTTGTTCAGTAAGGTTCAGTAAACTCCAGTAAGGTTCAGTAAATCGAAGGATCATACGGCCAGGGAGAATAGCAACGTTTTTGGGCAGATCCTCCTGGTGGATAGGCTCCTCCTGGCCGAGGCCGGGGAGGGTGCGTGGCACCCTGCCGGGGCAGGAGGAGGGCCCTGGCTGGGCGTGGCGGTGGCATGCCCTCGGCGGCGAGCGAGGGGGGAACTTCGAGGTTCCAACTTCGAGGTTCGAACCTCGAGGTTCGAACTTTGAGTCTCTAGGTTTTCGGACGTTTTCGTGGTTTCTTGGCGGTTTGCCGCCCTCAGGACGCGTTCCAGCGGCTGCGCCTCGCCGAGAGCGTTTCGGGGATGCCTGGGTCGCCCCGAACGGCCGCCAGAGGACCGAGTTATGAGCCAAAAGCGAATTCGGCGGCGAGTGAGCGGGGGGAGTGAGAAGGAGAAGGCCTTCTCAGAAGGCGGCGGGACTTCTCAGAGGCGCTCGCGCCTCCTGAGAAATCTTCTCTGTCTTCGGGGAAGGCTCGGAGAACTTCTGAGAAGGCCAGGGGACTTCAGCCTTCTGAGGAGGCTCGCCCCTTCTCCTTTCCCCCTTTGCTCGCCGCCGATACCCTGATCCCCTCGCGCTGCGACAAAACCGCGACGGGAAATTATCCGCCATGTTCGGCATCTGGGAGCCCTTCGGGGCCTCCGGAGCGTCGCAAAAAATTGCGTAGGAGGAAAGACCGATCCGGGGGAAGGGGTCGAGACCTCTCAGGGTCGACGCTGTGGAAAGATCACGACGTCTGGGGTCTGGGTAGGAGGAGGAGGAGGAGGAGGAGGAGGAGGAGGAGGAGGAGGAGGAGGAGGAAGAGGAGGAGGAGGAGGCGGAGAAGGGGGAGGAGGAGGAGGAGGAGGAGGAGGAAAAGGAGGAGGGAAAGGAGGAGGAGGAAGAGGAAAAGGAGGAGGGAAAGGAGGAGGAGGAGGAGGATGAGAAGGAGGAGGAGGAGGAGGAGGAGGAGGAGGAGGTTGGGGTTGGGTTGGGTAGAGGGCGGGCTAGTCTAGCCCACGTGTGCCGCCGCGGCGGCTCTGCACAGCTGCCAAGGCCTGGCGGCCTCAACGGCTCAGAGCGGGAGGTACATGCTGCTCACCACTTTCACGCCATACCGGATCTGAGCCTCAGCCCTCGCTCTCGGAGCTCTCGCTGTCCCGCGCCGCCGCGCGCTCCCAAGCCACCGCCTCGCCTGGGCTGACGAATCCGTGCAGCCGCGCGACGTCGCAGATGTGGAGACGCCGCCAGCTGAGCCCGCAACCTGGCCCCAGCGCACCTCCTCGCTCCTCCTCGCCAACGTCGGGCGCCAGCACTGGTCGCCAGGTCCTCCGCTCGGCGTCTGTGAGACCTCGAGGCTGCCCGAGCCGCTGTCTCTGCCTCCGAGGGTGCGGGTGCAGGCCGGCTCTCAGTCGCCGGCGCGCCTCTGCTAGTCCAGCGGCCTCGGGGCCGTGGCATGGACCCAGCAGGCTGCCCCGACCCTTCCGCGGCACCTGCGCCTTGGCACCGCACTGCATGCAGAAGAGCACCGCGCCCTCGTCGTCGCAAGGCCCTACCAAAATGCTGTGGCCCTCAACTTCCATGGCGCTGCAGGAGGAGGAGGAGGAGGAGGAGGAGGAGGAGGAGGAGGAGGAACGTGGAGGAGGAGGAGGAGGAGGAAGAGGAGGAAGACGAGGAAGGCAAGGAAGACGAGGACGAGGAGGACGAGGAGGACGAGGAGGACGAGGAGGAGGAGGAGGAGGAGGAGGAGGAAGACGTCCGTAGCCATTTTGGCTCAAGGCCATTTCGGGAACTCGACCCCCCGTCTCAAGTGGCCTGGCCCGCCGCGCGCGAGTGAGACCCTGGAGAGTTGCCCCATGACAAGGGTATCCGCACTCTTTCCTCCCCTGCGGCGTGCCCGCTGCACACCCAGCTCTGCTTACGGTATTCCCATATCCCTCTCGCCACATCTGTTCCGCGCAGGCTATGGAGAGCGATGGACATCGCGAAGCGGCGGCTGCCGCGACTCTCGAGGCGCTCGAGGCCATGCCGACATTATCATCGCAGGAGGTGGCAACTCCCCAACGTGCTGGCCCTCCTTTTCATGATGTTGATGAACTTCCTGACGGCCAACCCCCAAGCAAGCGTGTTGTCATCTTCTCATCGCATGGGGTCTTCGACAACAAGGGTTTGGGAAAAGGTCAAGCCGCCTCATTTGGTGCCTCCCCACCCACTTCTGGTTCGTTCTCTGGTCATAGCTATGGAGTGCCCGCACTACCTGGAGGTGGCCCACCGTCGGCAGAAGAATTGGTTGCGATCCGTGCCCATGAGGATGCAGTGCAAGCAGCACTGCAGCAGTCTATTGCAGCAGTGCAGAACAGTGTGCAGGCCTCCCTCACATCAATTTCGAATAATATTACATCGTCGTTCCGAGACATCAGCCATGCTATGGAATCAAGGATCAACCGCGTGGAGAATCGTGCTGATGACCAAGACAAGCGGTTGGACCGCATCGAGAACTAGATCGCACAGCTTCGACAGGAGCTGCAAGTGGTCCAGAGTGAAGAGCCGCAACCGCCTCTCCGCCCAATTTCGGAATCCAGCTTCAACAGGGAGATCGACCGCTCAGTGGTGGTCATCCGCTCCCCGAAGCTGGTCACGAAGACGAACATGCAGAAAGCCCCGGCGGACTGGCTGCGAGACTGCAACATCAACGAGCAAGAGTACACCTTCGACGGGCAAGAGCCTGCTGGTATCAGGTTCACGATGCGCTTCGCTGGCGCCAAGAACTACGCCGAGCGGAAGGTCAACCAAGTCCTGGGCGCACTCAAGACGCCCTCCCCTGGCAATGCCCCTCCAATTTGGAGGTCCTTCCGAGCGGAATCGATCGCCGATGGCGCAGTCAACCTGTTCGTCGGCCCCGACGAGAACACGGAGATGGTACGCCGCGAGTGGGCTGCAAGAAGATCAAAGGCGTGTTGGCCCGCGAATTCCCGCAGAAGCGCTTCTTCCTGGACAGGCGCAAGGGCGAGATACTTCTGGGCTGGAAGCCGATATGCAAGGTCGCCCCTGTGGAGGGTCAAGATATGCCGAATTTCTCGCGGGCGAAGGAGAACATGCGGGCGGAGGGTATGGACGTGCAGCGCATCCAGCAGCTTGCCGCCGACGCCTTCGGCCCCGTCACAGAGACAGCGTGGAGTTCCTAGCGCGCTCAGTACCCTGTGGCATGGTCAAGCCAAGCATGACGGTTCGCTTCACTTCGACTTGCGAGTGGTCACGTGGAATGCGAGGGCGCTATTTCATCACGATGACTCACTGAGGGTGCAAAAAGTGAAGCTGTTGCGCCGTCTCGTGCTGTCTGGCACGATTGTCGCTTTGCAAGAGACGCACGGTGCCCCGTGCGACGTCAGGGACCTTCCCCGCTCCCTCCACCTCCCCCTCCAGGCGCATTGGTCCTTTCAGAATGATGTTCGCACTGGGGGCGTGATCACCATTTTCCCTCGGTTCTTTCCAACCGAATCCAGCAGGGTCTCGTTGGGCGGCGTCCTCCCTCTTGTCTCGCCCTCCCCTCTGATCCCTGGCCGCGTACTTCAGACCAAGATAGGGGTTGTGAATGGGCGGTGCTGGATCCATCACTTGAACATCCACAACCACGGCCTCTCCGTGGCTGACAAGGCAGTGCTGTTCGGCGCGATGGCCGCCGCGCTTCAGCAGGCACAGGAGGACCCCCTCAATAGATTGGTTCTCGCCGCTGGGGATATGAACCTCTCATCCCATGAACCCATCCCTCTCAACTCCCCGAATGGTGACTTCAGTGTGTTTACTGACCCTCACCCCCGCCCCCTCCCTAGGGACTGGAGTCAGGCTTTCGCCCCCGCGGTGGAGTTTGAACTTCTCTCCCCCATTCATTTGAACAGTCAAAGTTCGTCTCTTAGTTTCCTGGACAGGATCTTCTCCTCGCTGCCTGGCTGGATTCTCTCGCAATACGCGTCGGGCGGGGGAGTCTCCGAACATCCTGAGGTGCTGGACGCGAAGGGTCTCTCCGACCACGCGCCTGTCGCTGCTCACATCCGCGTGCGTCTGCCCAGGCCTGAAGGGGACAGGCCGATCCCCAAGGAGCTTTTTGCGTCGGATCCGTACAAGTTCATTCTAGATCGAGCTACTCGGGCGGCCTCTTTTGACCCCCCCCCCCCCCCCCCCCCCCCCTTGCTCACGAGCACTGCGAACTCCTGATGACCGAGGCGGCCCTTTTCGCCAGAAACCAGCTCATCCAGAAACGCCCCCGCACTCACATTTCCCGATTTCTGGTCGTCCGAGG